AAGAAAAAAAAAAAAAAAACAACAAACTTGTTATTGATGATGAAGTACACTTTTTTGATTGGGTATGGTCTGATAAGGATGTGGTCGGTAGGGGGCGCTACAGGTGTTGTCTCAGCTCTATTGGTGTTGATGGAATTAACAACAGGGGCACTAGAGTGGCAACAATGAGCCGAAAATTCCGAAAAGATTTATTCCCATTAAAAGATGTGGCATCCTTTAGTTCCTAAGACACTGCCCTGTCCATACCTCTATGGATAGAGTACAACTTTTTTTTTTTTTCACATGAAGATCTGGTGTTATTTCAGTGTTCCAATGTATTTTGTTTCTTCAAAATTTTGAAATTTTTTTTTTTTTTGCATGTAACCCTGTCCGCTATGATTTGTTCTATTTTGGCCTAAGCTAGACAAACCTTTTGTTGTTTGCGTTGGCCAATTTTTGTATTGCTTGATTGTTTATTTTATTTTAAGATTATATTATCTTTCAAATAAACGAGCAAGCAATACAAAAAATATTTAGCGATTTTTTTTTTTTTTTTTTTTTTTTTTTTTTGCTACCTCTAAACACTCTGGTCAGACATTCCTGGGCTGTTAGGAAGCTAAGTCGATAATTGTACACTGTCTGTCGGTAACCTGCTACCTGTGCAGTCTACATCAGCAAAGTCCACAGTCCAAACCACAGTTAGTCTGTGGCTCAGAGTCAAAGTCAACCTATCGATTTTTTTTCTTCAGGGCAGGAACACAAACTAGGTGAAGTGTCAGGACTGCCTCGAGGTTAGATAATCATCTATGTATATCAAAGTTCACTTTGCACCGGTGTTTGGATATTAGCCAGAGTATCTGAATTTACCTTTTGAATTCGACATCATGGAATGGTTTTGGTTTTTTTTTTTTTTTCTTTTTGAAACTAAAATTTAGAATGTAGATTTCAACTCCCGGTTCCCTCTTGTGTTTCTTCTCCTTAGTACAAAGCCACAGATTTCGTGGTGCCTGGTCCTGGCAAATTGGAGATGACGTACACGCCAGAAAACGGAGAGCCCGTTAAATATGTGGTCCATGAATTTAAGGGTAAGAACCGGATTTAACTGGGATTCAGGCTCGGTCTGATCAGCCGTGAAATATATGTAAACATAAGCTTATTTTGCTGCTACGCTATCTAACTATTGGATCAGAAATCTGTTATGTTTGTAACGTGCGCGGTAGATACTGTATATAACTGCAGTGTTTTTATGTAAAATATCTCATTTAAAAAACCCATATTTCAGATGGAAAAAGCCACAAGGTTCACTGGAAATGTTTTTTAAAAATTAATTAATATCTATCACCAAAGTCGATGTAGTTCGGTACTTCTCAAATAGCCGGTGTGTCGCTGCTGTAATGCTTGAACAATAAACAAGCCTCCAGTCACTAGGTGGCAGCAACTCATACAGTGGTTTGTACAGATTCTGTACAATTCTGTCCACCAGGGGGAGCGTGACAGAAAATAAACCACCAGATAAACACTGATCATCATTCCGACGTACAAATTTTGCACAGTAACTTGATGGCGTGATGTGGGTCTCTATGCAGAAGACGACTTTGTTTACATTCCTCAGTTGTCATCGCCATGTGTTGGATTATGCTACATTTGCTTTCTATTGTTTGTGTTATTGTTTTTTTTTGGGGGGGAACGTTTTGCCCTTCATTTTGGCTCCCAGGCGTAAGTCAGACTCTTCTGATGTTTTTAGGTCCTGGATTATGATGTTACCACTGTGTTAGCATAAGTGACATAAGTACTTATCGAGCTGCGTTGTGCTAAAGGAACAGAATTCCGGCATAAGTCGATGGTAAACCAAGCAAAGATAACGACAAGATTTGAGAAACTAATCCTGCGTACAGATATTGGTTTTCCATATACTACAAAGAAGTGATACATGGGATGAGTTGCAGTGACAGTCACTAAGAAACCAAAATGCTATCGCACTTGTCTACAGGCACTGGAGGTGTTGCCCTGGGCATGTACAACACAGACAGCTCAATCAGAGACTTTGCCCACAGCTCCTTCCAAATGGCTCTGTCCAAAGTCTGGCCTCTCTACCTCAGCACCAAGAACACCATCCTGAAGAAGTATGACGGACGCTTTAAGGACATCTTCCAGGAGATCTACGAAAAGTGAGGACCGGAAACCGACGATCACTTACGCACTTAACACAACACACAATTTAATTGAGTGTAGAAAATGGTCAAAGTCGTATCATTTTCTTTTCCCCGTCGGTCGTTCCAGAGAATACAAAGCTCAATTTGAAGCCAAAAAAATCTGGTACGAGCACCGCCTCATCGATGATATGGTGGCCCAGGCCATGAAGTCTGAGGGAGGCTTCATCTGGGCCTGCAAGAACTACGATGGAGACGTGCAGTCGGACTCCGTGGCACAAGGTGAGACGCGAACTTAGCTCATAGAAATGCCGGAGAGATTGAAATTTTAAACCCTGGTCAATTCTGCTTTTTTATGACTAATGTGAACTTGTCTTGACCGTCACAGGCTATGGCTCTCTGGGTATGATGACCAGTGTTCTGATCTGTCCCGATGGACGCACAGTAGAGTCTGAGGCTGCTCATGGCACAGTGACCCGTCACTACAGACAGCACCAGCAGGGCAAAGAGACCTCTACTAATCCCATAGGTGAGAGAGGAGAAAACTCAGATTCTTTGTTGTTTCTCGAGGAATCGGACGGATGGATGGATTGTTTTTATTTTTCATCGTAGGCAAAGCTTACAACAAAATTGCAAAAGTGCAATCCCGTATGGCGCAGCAACAGACTATGGTTCTATAGTGTAGTGGAAGGGTCACCAAAGCCCGGTCCGGGGGCCAGTCCTGGTCCGTAGGTCATTTGGTACAGGGACATTACAGGGTCATTTAGACTTTGAACAGAATAAAGTCTAAAAGACGTTTTATTTTGAAATTTAATGATCAATCTACTAGATATTAATTGCATAATATTACCGGTCCGCAGTAACACCTGATACCGGCCGACCAGTCGCTGGTACAAAAAAAGATCGGGGACGGCTTGTGTAACGGTTTTTACACACCTCATACACAGAATGTCCTGGGTTCGAGTCCCCTTCATGACCATATCATTATCTTTCCTAAGGAAGTCACTTTGGATAAACACTTCATAATCTCCGTTGTTAAAGCTACAGGTCTGGAAAGAGTTCAAATAGACAGCACTCTAGTAGTCACCTCTAGTTTTCGACCTGGGACTCGAACCAGTGACCAACTGTTTGGGTGTTTTGCTCCACGTGTTACAAAAAAAAAAAAAAAAAACCTAAATGCCCAATGCCAATAACTGATAAAACCTGTGCCAACTGCAGCCTCCATCTTCGCCTGGACACGCGGTCTCCTCCACCGAGCGAAGCTCGACAAAAACACGGAGCTGAGAGTCTTCTCTGAAGCCCTGGAGGCCGTCTGCATCGAGACCATTGAGGCTGGATTCATGACCAAAGATTTGGCCATCTGCATCAAAGGGCTGCCAAAGTGAGTCTCCCCCTGTACCGCTCACCTTCCAGTGTGTGTTAGAAACCTGTAGACTACAGTAAAAAAAAAAAAAAAAAAAAAAAAAAACGTTAAATCTAACCCTCGTTTCCTCCGTCTACAGCGTGACTCGTGACGACTACTTGAACACCTTCCAGTTCCTGGACAAACTGGCCGAGAATCTGAAACTGAAGCTCAGCAACCAGCCAAAATTGTGATCCAACGTCTCTGGAAATACACTCGAAATATACACATACATATACACGCACACATACACACAATTCACACGAAACACGGTCCACACACGGGTGCGATGAGGTGTTGGCGCATTGAGCACCTTAATAGTTTTTTTTAAAAGAGGACAACGTAGGAATCTTCTGGAAAAACCTGACTGTAAGCCATTAGTGGGAATCTGATGGGAGCTTTTTCTGGAAGCGTTAAAGTGATCTCATCGAGGTAGCTCGCACTAACAATCTGTGGAGTTACTCGTCACAGAGCAATCTGCTTGTCAAGTTTGCATTATTAATATAAAAAAAAGACAGTCCAAGTGTGGATGGCTGGGGACCAGGAAGTGGGTCTTGCCTACTCTTTAAGAGCCAGCCTTCTGTTTATAACTAAAGCTTCTAATGATCACTGCAGCATTTTTTTTTTCTTTCTTTTTATTGATCGCCAATTGTTTTAAATGTGTTCACTTCACTCACACGTTCAGAGAATCTGAATATACTACAGGAACTACTGTAGTCTAGATGCATACGGTTTGTCGACTAGCGATGAGTATTTGCTAAAGGCATGTATCACCGCAATTTTTGACCATCTCGGATTTCACGTCATCCTGTGAATGTACTGTAATTGATCCAATTAATTATGATGTTTTTGGAGTTTGTGTGTGTGTGCACAGAAAACGGCATCGACTCTAGAGCGCATTTTTAGTGTTTTCTACTTCAACCCGATTTACACATTTGCCGGGAGAATTATATTTATACGTGCGTGCTTGTGTGTGTTTAATAAAAGTATATTTCTGATCAGGACTTTTCTTGATCAAAATCCTCAAATTTTGTCTATTTGCTTGTTTTGTGAACACTGATTTATTTTTTTTTTCTCACCTTGACAAATATAACCAATATAACTAATAAATAAAAAAAATGTAAATGTTAAAAGTTTGTTTAAATATTAATATACCGGTATGTTATATCTATGTACATACGTACATGTATTATATGCACGTGTGTATAAATACATATATACATAAATATATGTATACATATGATATTCACGTGTGTGTATATACAAATATAACCAATATAACTAATACATATTTTTTTAAATATAAAAAAGTTTGTTTAAATATTAATATACCGGTATGTTATATCTATGTACATACGTACATGTATTATATGCACGTGTGTATAAATACATATATACATAAACATATGTATACATATGATATTCACGTGTGTGTATATACAAATATAACCAATATAACTAATACATATTTTTTTAAATATAAAAAAGTTTGTTTAAATATTAATATACCGGTATGTTATATCTATGTACATACGTACATGTATTATATGCACGTGTGTATAAATACATATATACATAAACATATGTATACATATGATATTCACGTGTGTGTATATACAAATATAACCAATATAACTAATACATATTTTTTTAAATATAAAAAAGTTTGTTTAAATATTAATATACCGGTATGTTATATCTATGTACATACGTACATGTATTATATGCACGTGTGTATATGTCTATATATGTATAAATACATATATAAATATATATATATATATGTGTTTATATATATATCCCAAAAACTGGTCAATGTTCGTTTGGTTAACAAAAACACAATCTGTATATAATATATTTACTGACTATCCCTTTAATTTTCAACCACCCACTGTTGCTCTTCCGTTCCTGTACCAACAAGTGGTGCTATTGCTCCGAGAACCTCCTACTCTCAACCTGCTGATCACGGTCGCGGTCCTCGAACAGAAGTACAGCAGTAAGAGCAGAAGTATTTTCTTCCTAAACTTTCAAACCGTCCTTTTTATTTACCACGAAATAATTAAGTAATAATAAAAGAAAAATGGATCCTCCGGTAAATAATCAGACGTCGACGGGGGCTCAACAACCATCAAGAACTCATTCACCTCAGCCACAACAGTAAGTCAACAAGTTATATTATATTATATTATATTATATTATATTATATTATATTATATTATATTATATTATATCATATTATATTACAGTTCTGCGTAGACATTTAAACTCCTTTACGCTCATCACGGCTAGTAGGTCGTTAACTTTCACTTTCATTTCCTGTAATTCCACACTAACATTGTTCACCTTCACAGACTTCTGTGTTCTCAGTTCACTGTCTGTGTCTCTGTGTCCTCACTGAAAAGAAACCCACAAGTTCATCTTTTAAATAAACTGATAAATAAAATAACAACAAAAAGTGTCCGCACAGTCGTTCTGCTGTGTGTTGTTATGCGATGTTCCACCTGTCCTGCACCCTGAATCACCTCTCTGAAAAATTCCCAGGGATTCCCAAAGTGCAATGCGCGCGGGTTGCCACTAGTTTTTTGTTGTTGTTGTTGTTGTGATTTTGGACGATTTTGGAAGAATTTGAATTTCGGACAAATAATAATTTCCTTTAAAAAATTCACACAGAGCCAGCCTCTGCTACATCAACAACTATGAGTTGTTGTACAACTATAAGAAGAAACAAAGGAAATGATTTCTTAAATCAGGGAGTCCAAATTTCACTTATCATTTCAACCATCTGAAAACTATTACCGTATTGTCCGGAATATAAATCACACTCTTTTTTTTTCATCCTTTGGCTGGGTTTCGGACTTATACTCAGGTGCGACTTATATATTAAAATATATAATTTCACATGTTCGTTATTTCTTACAGCCGCTAGAGGGCACTCTAGGCTTGCGTACCAGGATTTGCTACTCCTGTAAGTAGCACCTTTTTTTTTTCATCCTTTGGCTGGGTTTGGGACTTATACTCGGGGGCGACTTATATATTAAAATATATAATTTCACATGTTCGTTATTTCTTACAGCCGCTAGAGGGCACTCTAGGCTTGTGTACCAGTATCTCCTACTCCTGTGCTACTGAAAATGTACATGTTTGTTATTTTCACACTGACAGCCACTAGAGGGCACTCTAGGCTTGCGGACCAGTATTTGCTACTCCTGTAAGTAGCACTTTTTTTTTCATCCTTTGGCCGGTGCGACTTGTACTCCAGAGCGACTTATAGCCCGGAAAATACGGTATTTATTTACTGCTAATAATTTGTCACAAGGCTCCAAATATACCAACAAATTGCGGAAGAACTTAGTTCATATCCAAATCCAAGAACTCTAACCATTTATTGACTTGACGTCAGTCGGACTTTTACGGTGTATTCCTTTTTCAACCACAGTATGAATGGATTCACCTTGATTCCACCTAACGAGAATCGCAGAACACAGACAATAATGAGTGAGTTGATTCGACTCATCCTTTTCATACTTGCTAAATCTGACATATATCAATTTCAAAAATCTAAAAATACTGTCTGTCCTTATTACAGCAGCCCAAAAAGAAGAAGAGAATTTTCAGAAGTTCAGAGAGACACAAAGAGCTGTCTACGTACAGCCTGGACCACAGAGACTGGGTAAACAACAAACTGAGTCCGGTCTTTGAATGAAGCTCAAAATGGAGGACAAGACAAAACTGAAGTTGTTGATATGTTTTTAGGTGGGAGCGGAACGATGAGCGAGGCAAGACAGAAGCAATTCGTGAATCATCGTACCTGCAAACTCGAGAAAAAGGTAGAAAAAATGTTACCTAGCCTGGATAGTTTTTGACATTTTTTGTGTGTAAAAAACTTCCTCTCATCTCTCATGACATTCTGTGTGAAAACTTCCTCTCATCTCTCATGACATTGGCGAGACAATTCTTAAGAAATGTGCACTATAGAAAAAAAAAAAAACCGTGACAGCAGCATTTGATGTCTGATCTGTAGCAACAGCAGGTCGAGCAAAAGCTAAGAATCAAGCAAGAAGAGGAGGCCATGTTACAGGAGAAGAAAAACGAACAGAGGAGAAAGGTGAGGCCCAGGGCGTGAACCCGTTGCAATAAATTAGAAATGCGTCTTTAAGTCGATCATCATCATTTCTCATCTGTATTTATATTTCGCGTTATGTCCCCGTCTGATCCAGTCAGTACTAACTCAGCCCTCAGGGAATCTGCTGCAGAGCAAAGTGAGGATTTACAGCTGTGTTTCCTCCAGTCCTGTTTTCCCCACAGTGCTCTCTGACTAACCCCAGAATTCCATGTCTCAGGAATGTTCTGTACTCAGATGGGGGATATCAAATATGTCAGGGGAGTTCACAGGGTGACCATAGGAAGGGCTAGTGCCACACCTTTCAGCAGTAATTCTGAACTGTTGCGCCCAGAACACACTAGTCGCGGACTAGTTCTCAATGGGCCATGGGCTAAATAAACAAAAGTTAAAAGAGAAATAGCAGTCGAACCCAGTGGTTTTCAATAGGTGAGGTGTGCCTCCGCTGGGGGGCGCCAAAGAGTCACAGGGGAGGCCTGCATGAAGTTGCATGCGTGAAGTAAAATTATTCACCTTTCCTAATAGTAGCTGCAATGCAAGATGACATTTGTCAGTTTGCATCAGAGAAGACATGCAAACTCCATTTACATATGCACATATATATACACACACACATATACATATATATACATATATACATATATGTACATACATATATACACATATATATACATATATAAACATATATATACACATATATACACACACATATATATATATATATATATAGCCTGTGAGTTGTAGCCTGTGAGTTGTAACCATGTACTCAATGGTGCCCCCTGTTGGTAGTAAACTCTCACACTTATATGTGGTCCATACTGCAGCAAGTCCCTTGCAAGCAAAGAGTAGAGGGTCTTGGGTTCAATTCCCAGAGAAACCACATATCCCTTCCAACACCTCCTGTGCGACAGCCTGTGAGTTATAAACACATACTCAATGGCGCCCCCGTTGGTAGTAAACACTCACACTCACATAGGTGGTCCATAGTGTAGCATTTACCATGCCTCCCTTGCAAGTAAAGAGCAGAGTGACCTGGGTTCGATTCCCAGAGACACCACATATCCCTACTGGCGCCAAAGACTCACAGTAAATCTCCCCATTGTGGGATGAATGAGGGACTGTATTATTTATTAATATACTTCAGAAGCGAGCTTGAAGAACTGAAGTCTCCATCATGCTGGAAGAATGCCGTGATAACTAATCTCAGGTTCAAACTGCGTCAATTTTGAATACAATAAATCTGAGATGTTGAAATAGATCCACAATTTAGGGTTTGGAGACTCTTTTGACTGATATCAATCGGTAATCATCATGTTTTTGCCATTTGTGTTGAAAACAAGTTTACGTAATGTGTAACATTTTCTGCCTGAATGCTGGAAAGTTCAGGATTCATATGCTCACCATCAGCTTGGCTCCGATTTGTTGCAGAGCGAGCGTTTGGAGGAGAGAAGGGAACTGGAGGAGATCAGGCGGAGGGGCCAGCTCTATCAGGATCACTTCAGGTCGGTCCCCGATCTGTCAACGAATTCAATGAATCAATTAATTCACCGTTAGGACTGTTGACTCTGAGATGTTCAGTTGTCACACGTGTATTGTCATAAGACATCTTAGCTACTTTTAACCAGACTTTCAATTAAAACTTGGAGTAAATATTTTTGTCAGATATTATCGATTTTAAGGTAATATTTCATTGAATTTGATTTTCTTATTGGAATATGGTTTAAAACATTTTGCTGAATTTTTTAACCTTCCTTTAGCTTTGGCTAACTCTTATATTTTTGTGATATATATATAAACATATATAAATATATATATATGAGCCTCCCCTATAGTGTATATGTATATATATGAATGTGCTGTGTGTATATATACACATATGTGCATACATACATATATAGGTATATATGTTGGAAATGGGAAACCTATATTATATGTGTTATATCTTCTAATATAAGCATTAAAACTCCTATCATGAACAATCCGACAATTCCAGGCATTTCAAGGACTTTTTGATCTGATAATCCACTACTTCCGGGTATAGTTTTCATATATATATATATAATACATATATTATATTGTTATATTATTTTGTAACAGGGTGAATTCTACTTTTCTGGACAATCTCGAGGCACATGGAGGAGTTGAGGGCCCACAGTTTTCTGCCTCTGCTCACCTGGAGGCAGATCCACAGTGGAGCTGGACACGGGAAACAAGTACATGTCTTTTAGCATTCTGGTTAGCATTCTGCTAGCATTCTGCTAACCTCTGGTCGACCATGTCAGGGGTTTTGCAACTTGTCTTTACCCTTTACTCCCTGTGCCGTTGGGTTTCTATTTTTGGCCCCTTAGCTTAACCAATAGGCTATTGCAAATGTTTTTTAGTTATGTCGTGATTATATTTGGATATAATAAGACAATATTAGAGAGAAGGATATACAAAGTGTCAAAATTTGAAGGATGACAGCCTTGTGTAGCAGAGACATGTCTACCTTCTTGCCATCTTCCGGTGTAGGTGGTAAACTCTGAAGGTGTGGAGACATGTCAGGGCGCAACTTTGAACTGTCTGTCTTTGAGGACAGTCTGTCAGGGGAGGGTCATCCACCAGATTTTGACACATGCTTATGTATATCCTTCCCTTTCTAATATCACTACAGTGGTCCCTCGTTTATCGCGGTAGCTGGGTTCCAAGGCCTGCGGCGAGAACTGAATTTACGCAAAGTAGTGACACCATATTTGTGCGCAGTAAAATGATGCCGAGGAAGGTGTTGACGACTTTTACTGCGCAGCCGGTGATTGATTTTACGTCTCTTCAGAGGGTGGTGCCATTTCTTGGGGCAACTCTTCCACGGTTTCCGAAGGTGTATCCGTCGTAGTAGCAGGAACTGGCTCTTTTTTGCGAGGGTGCAAAATCATGGTGATCGGCAGTTGCTTCCGCTGCTTCTTTTTCCGGTCGAAGAGTAGCTTGTAGGCAGTCACGACGTCGTCGATTTTGTTGCAAAATTGGACCGATCGAACCATATCGTCGTCCCATTCCTGTGCCATCTCTTGCAGATCCAAATTGGGGATACAGTATATTTTATATATACAGTTTCAAAAACCGTCGTGAATCCGCGGCTTTTAGCTCAATTTGCTAAATTAGGCTAATTAGTCGTTAGTAGTTAATCATCTGGCTATTTAGTGCCCTCGTTCAACTTTAGATTTTTGTCTTTAATAAAGTGCATCAGTCTCTTCCTTCACAGAGGATACAGCTAATTCTAGGGCCTACTCCACCCGCACGTGCTCTGCTGTCAGTCACTCTGCTGAATATCCGACATGTTCAGTCTGATTCCTCACAACCTCCACTCCCTCTTTTTTGAAATTCTTGACACTCACTCACATTAAAAAACATGAAAAAGAAACCGAAACCTCGCAATGAGGAACATTTTTGCCTTCAGCCAAATTATTGGCATGTGTCACACCTTCAGTACATAATTAATATGATCCTTTTTGTTTTTACAAAACTATCAGATACTGGTTAAAAATGACCGACGTTTATGATTGTATTTTCTAGAGCAGACCCCTGACAACAACATGGATCTGATGTCCCTGAAGAAGAACTTTCCAGACTGCAGCATGGACGTCCTCCAGGAAATCCTTGAACAATGTAATGGAGACTATGACAGTGCCTACGCTCTGCTAAGCTAAAGTTCTTAGCTTAGCAGATTCTTCCAAGAAAGACCTCGGCTAACGTTAAGGTTTGCATCGGCTTAGTAAGCTAGGCTCCATGCTAAGTTTTGGCTACTATGCTTCATTTAAATTTCGGGGTGGTTAACATCTCACTCCTGCTGTTTAGTATATCTTCTTAGCACTGTTAGCATTTCTTAACAATTTGCTTTGCAAACTATTAGCTTTGGTTGGTTATTTTAGACAACCTTATTCCATTTTAAATATCCTTTTAGAAATAATTTGTTGCTGATCCTTGTAGGTAGAGTTATGGCGAGATCCGATATGCCGATATTGTCCAAACACACCGATATTAGCTTTTTGGCGAGATCCGATATGCCAATATTGTCCAAACACTTAAATTCTGATTCTGATATCAACCGATACCGATATAGTGGTGGCCTGGTGGTTGAGGAAGTTCAGTGCCGCCTGCTCACTAAGGTGATGGGTTAAAACAATGTTTCGCAATTATTTTTTCTACCATGCCCCCCCTAGGGGACGGAAGTATTTTCAGTGCAGTACAGTGTAAAAGTGAGAAAGGACAGAAGTATTAGAAGTATCAGTGCAGTACAGTGTAAAAGTGAGAATAATTCACCTTTACTTTCATTTACAGCCTTTTTTTCCCCCAAAACTATTTTAGGGCACACATCATTTGGCAAAACCGATTTCATTATCGGAGGATAACGATTCTTAAACATATCACATAATAACGCTAATATCCGGCCGTTAATAAAGACTGGCATCTGTACTTGTACATATTAGCTAATTCTGCTGAGTTCCAGCTAGCTTATTTGCTTTATATTGGCTTGGAATGAAAGTTTTGGTTCTGTGTGTTTTTGATCATTCGGCTCGGGCAAATATTTGTAAGCCTTTCTGTTGTTTTTCTGTTTGTTATGGATTAAAGATTTGACAAGAAACTTCAAAGTCGTACGAATCCTTCATAAACTAGTAATTGCTTACTTTGGCTCACGTTTATGCGAAGACCTTGGAGGTCTGAGTAAGCCTCAGATGTAGCCCGGATTTGAGTTTCCAGGTGGAGACATTGGACACAAAGCCGCTGTTTGAGCTGGAAATGGCAGCCGTTATTAACATCTGTGACCCGGTGGTGGAGATCGTTATCACCGGACGCAGACCACAAAAAACAGAAGGGTGGTTCTGTGTCCACATGGGTCGCAGTGAAAAAAAAAAATCCCCTATTTTATCTGAAGCATGAGCTCATGTTCCGACAGTTTCACTGATGATGTCATCAGAGCATCAGACCATCTTCATAGAGTCTACGAACATGCGAACAGCTCTGCCACTTGAGATGTACGATGTAAAAATGTAAATAACAAGGTCAATGTGATGCGTTCGAAGGGAAACGCAAAGAGATAACAAGTTGAATGCGAAGATGTACAAGTCAACTGTCACGCCACGTCATCATAGCATAGCATAGCATAAAATAAAAATATAGCTTAAAACAAGGCTTCTGGGAGGTTTTGGCTTATTTCATAAAATCCCAACACCTCAAACTGAAATGATTTTAAAAATCCGTTCTGTGCTAATTTGCCGTTTAATCAACATGTAAACTTAACGTTTTGTTATTCACAAACTCGCGGCAGTGTTGATCAACTGTTGCCGCCATTGGAAAAAAAAACAACAAAAAACGTTTTATTGTGAACAGATGAATTAGAAATGTGTAAAATTAAAAAAATTAAAAATTGAAACTACACTGACACTCTATGATTAATATGTACAATTATAACCAGAAGGGGGCAGTGACGTTAAAGAATCCAAAGCAATTTAAACATCAAAAAAAAAAAAAAAAAAGAAAAAGAAAAAAATATATGTATTGGCAGCAGCGCCACTTTTTTCAAAGTGTGGTCCAAGAGAGAAGGTGGAGGAGGATGAGAAGACGAGACATTATTATCAGAGCTTCAAAAGAAGTTGGTTAACATTCAAACACACACACACTTCCTGTGTTCAGTCTATGGCCAAACTGTTTTTGGTCTTGAATTCAAACGAACAGGAAACGCCGACATTTCCATTTTTTTTTTTTAATTTAAATTCATGTTAATACTGACCACCGTAAAGGCTTTGTGTGTGCGTGTGTGTGAAAAAGCGTTCGTTCGTAACTTTCATTTCCTACCCACAGTAAAAGCTGTAAAAACATTGCGAGAATAATAATAATAATAAAAAAAATTCTTCACTGGCCACTAGAAGTGTATGGTGGTTTCATCGTCTCTACCTGTTTTTTGTTTTTTTTCTTTTTTTACTAAATCCCTTTACCATAACTTCCTTGTATAGTTTTTTTTTTTTTTTTTTTTGTGTTGCTGTATCTGTAATTTCAAACATGGAACAGGTTGTTGTTCACAGGCCTAATAAAAACGAGCGTCCGGCTCCAGAGGATCTTTTTAGCCATTGTCACCGGACCACCCACAGATGAAGCTGGACAAGCCTTACGCACAAACAAAAAACACACACACACACACACTCAAACGTGTACATGGACACAAAAATGTGCGCGCACACACACACACAAACAGAGACAAACACACACGCGTGCATAGATGCCGAGGCAACAAACTGCTCTGAGTCGGGGGATTCCCGGTGGGTGGTTCGATGTCTGAATGAGGTCACCTCATACTGTAGCGTTACACACACACACACACACATCTACACACCCTTACAATCCCACAGACATGAAGCTCTGGAGAATATTAGATAGCAGTTTGCACAGCGAGCATCTTGATACACTGGAAATCACCTACATTTGTTTATACGCTGTCAGAGTTATCTTTCCTCCTCTAAAACTCATCAGAGCAGGAAAAACCCAACTCATTCTTAACTGGGACAATGGAAGTAAAAAAAAAAAAAAGTATATATATATATATATTTATATATATTTTTATATATATATATATATTCATGACCCCGTGATGGACAGGAGTGTGGGGGTGGAACAATATTTAAATAAAATATATGCTACATTTTTGTTATCCACTGCGATGTTTTGGTTAATATTTTGATTTTTTTATGTTTAAAACTGTGGGGTTTTTTATTTTCAAAATGACCAGTTATTAGGATGGCTCTCTAGAATTAAATACCATTTTCACTTGTTGTCAGTTTGACTGAAATCCAGCCTGTCGTTCACGTCTCGTCTGAAGTTCCTGCTCAGGTTGTCATTGGCCTCAGGTGTGAAAGGTCTCACTGAGGGCGGAGCCAACGCTGGTGGTGATCAGGAAGCAGGTGATGGAGACCTGACCACATGTTCTCTACATGCGTTTTCCTGAAATGTGTGGATTGTTCTGCAGGAAACTCCATTTGAAGGAGGAGTGAGGGCCTTTGCCTTTTTAGCCATTGAGTGTGACTTTAGTCACTTTCAAGTTGTTTTACTTGGCCTCAGTATAATCAAGTACTCACAGTATTAACTACTGAGCTACTTCTGCAGCCCTTGAGTATTTGAGTATTTGTTTTGTTCTTAGTGTACATTTCTTGTAGTTCGACAGAGACAAATTTCCAAATTCTTTAAGCAGTTTACCAAAGCTCTGTAGTTGTTTTGTCATACAAGGCCTTGAGTCGGTTAAATACAAGGCCCGGGGGCCAAATGCGGCCCGCCAGGCCGTCATGTGTGCCCCGCGGAAGCTTAAAAAAAGCATTTAGCAGCAGAGTTTCTTAACCTAAGTAATTAAGTTTTTATAATGAATCAAATTTTAATCAATAGCAGAAACATGTTTTAGTCTGTGATGGAGTAGTTCCATCTATACCAGAGGCCCCTGACCTTTTGTTCCAAGGACTGGTCAGCCAGTGCCACCTGTTACTATAGACTGGTACCAAGATGTTGAAATATTGTCAGATTATCTTTAAATAAAGAAAGTAAATGGATATGACTGGATTTCTTTGAATAAAGTAAATTAGTAAAAATTAAGTAAATTTTTTTACTGTGTCCCACTGTGGATCTATGGACTAGTACTGGTCCACGCACCAGGGGTTGGTTACCCCTGATCTATACAGTCTTCCATTTACAACCGGCCCTTCAAAGGGAACTGTATTGTTGACGTGGCCCCTGGCGAAAATTACTGTGACACCTGTGCTCTAGGTCATACGTATCAAACTCGAGGGCTGCGGGCCAAACGTGGCCAAACAAGTTATTTTGTGCGGCCGGCAGGAGCTTAAAAAGTGTTTAATTGCCTTAAGATAAAGTCCATGCTGCCGAGTTTCTTAACTTGATAACTTGCTTTTTTATTACACAAAACAATGACCACAATTTGTACCTAACGTAATAAATAATAATTAAATTTAATTTTTTAAATTAACATATGGCTAGAATTGCTGTTTCATTTTTTTTTCCTTTTGACGTTTTCATTATAATATTTCTTTTATTCTTCTATTATTTGGATCAGGTGTGAAACACAAAAATCTACCTGCTGTCTTTCTGTTCCAGCCGTGTACAAAACAAACAAAAAAAAATAATAAGAATGTAGCTTTATCTAGATCCATGACGATAATCCTGACAAATTCATGGCTGACCTGTGATTAATCAGATTAAAAATAGTAACCATTTTAACAGCCCTAATGATGATAATCATCATCAACTTTGTGGGACCGTCCAGAGCAGTGTCCTGGTCTGTCTGAGCAGAGGACAGCTCGCTGCGGCAGTCCTGGCAAAAAAGTGTTGAGAGTCTGTGGATTCCAGAACATTCCTGGACACTTCTACAAATAGACAAACCTCTCAAATTAGCCAATTGTGATTTTTCGACAAGTTGAACACCACAGAAAGAGTCCCGGTCAGGATCCTGCCCTGCGTTCCAGGGTGGTGGTGACAGAAATTTCACAGCAAAACATTTCAGCACATGAAACCAAAAGTATTCTGTGTAAAAAAAAAAAAAAAAAAAAAAAAAAAAA